ACTGCCTTTTCTAAATATTTCTATAACATGGAACGCCCTTGTTTGCCATTAAAATACTTCTTAAAATATTTAAATTGTATTAAATATAAAAAAGTGTTACACATCTTTAGTGAAGTTTGTAGAGAAAGGTATCAAAACGGAAGATGGGGAGCGTTTGGGGAACATCTGTAACGGTCCCCGTTACAATTAGCACTAGTTATTATTATTTTTCTTCTTCTTCTTCTTCTTCTTCTTCCTGGAACTTTTTTGTCCGGGAATGATCTTGTAAACTGTTCGTCCGATGTAGGTAAAACCTTTTTAGGGTTAGTAGACATGTTATGTAGATTTGCGGAATCAAGGTCATTTTGCGCGCACGTGCTTGCAAGAGCGTGCACGTGCAACACGTGAAATGACCAATATAATAGATATAGCCACAACTGTCCTATTTTTGGATGAAATGCATTGAAACTCATAATGTGAGGATATATTAGTAGTATAGACATGACGACATGGTGAAAATAGCAAGATCTCACGCGCATGCACGTGCACTGCGCTCTGATTGGCTGCAACTAAAGTCTCAATATCTTTCTTGTTTTTAGACGAAATCCTTTGAAATTTTGAACATAGCCATGCATTAGGATATCCTACAACACGAAATAAAGCAATAATCATGAAAACACGTGCATGCACGTGCGCTGCAATCTGATTGGCTGAAACTTTAAACAGCTATAACTCCCTTGGTTTTCAACCAAACAGGGTGGGATTTGGAACATAAATAGATATAATGGACTTCTACAAGTAGGTATGGTCACCATGCACATGCATACACGTGCGTGTACATGTGCTGCAATCTGATTGGCTGAAACTTTAAACAGCTATAACTCCCTTAGTTTTCACCCAAACGGGGTGGAATTTACAACTTAGATAGATGTAATGGACTTCTACAAGAAGGTATGGTCACCATGCCCATGTATGCACCTGCGTGCACGTGAAATTAGTTTCCACCAAAACGGGGTGAATTTAGAACATAGATAGATGTAATGGACTTCTACAAGAAGGTATGGTCACCATGCTCATGTATGCACGTGCGTGCACGTGAAATGAGTAAAATCAAACATACACTTGAATGAGCGTATTTTTAAAATAATTTTGGATTAAATACTTTAATATTCAGTGTATTAAAAATATAGATTGTGTAGACAAGTATGATATGGTCATGACGCAAATGCATTCACATGTGCACGCGTGCAATGCTAAAGTTTAAATGATTTTTGTACACTTCTTTGTAAATGTTGTTAAAATCTCAGATGCATAGAGTTTGTCTTATTTAATGAAGCTTACAGGGAATATGGCACCAAAAGGGAGTTTGGGAGCGTTTGGGGAACATCTGTAACGGTCCACGTTACAATAAGCACTAGTTTTGTTTAGGGTTGAAGAAACTTTGATAATAAACACTTGTTAAAAAACTTTAAATATGCAGAGAGAGAAATGAGAGGGAGAAATAGGGACTTCAAACGAAAAATAAATTTTATTTGTTAATAATACAAACATTAAATTGTACATGTATTTTACCTGTAACCCAGCATTCTGCACACAACTTTTGCATCGTTGTCATCCCAATAGTCATCACAGATTGTTCCCCACTCTCTTCCAAAATACACTTCTACTCTACCGTAACCAACTCCGCCATTCACTAATCGGACCATTCCCACTACAGGCCCAGCAGTAGTACTAATTGTAGTGCTAGTTTGAGTTGAATGTACTGGAGAAAATGCAATATACGTAAATGAGAGCTTTACGACATAATCATGAATTCTATATTGTTCCTTGTCATTGAAATTACTGCTTATTGTTATAAAAGATGGATTTTTAGACTAAAATTTAGTACAAACCAAGACTTTGTATAATGCCCGTCAATCGAGCAATCGAGGAAGAAATGGACTCATGTTGCGACGAAAGGTTGGCAAGTTGTACATTTTGACGCGAGTCGGAATTGGTGAGAGATTGAACTGAGTTCTGAAAACTTGATATATTCTTAGATATGTTTTTTAACACATCCCTTGATAAAGAATTTATCTCCTGTTGGACTGAATTTATGGTAAAAATTAACGAGTTAAGACTGTTTTCTGTGTTAAACACTTTCACCGAAAGAGTTATGTTAATGGCGGATAATCTTTGCGACACTTGTTCAGTGTATGATTTTGAAGCAGTGGTTGTTCTATTTAAATTTCTCTGACTTTCTGTCACTGAAGTAATGGCTGAACTTAGCGAGTTAATACGGTTTCTTGTGTCTTTTGCATTCACTGAATAGGAAATATTTAGTACGGATAGATGTTGAGAAACTTGATCAATGTATGTTTTGGTTGCATTAATAATCCTAAAACAATTACTTTGTCTTTCTGCCACTGAATTAAGGGTTGAACTAAAATAGCTTAGTATGTTTTCATTGTTAGTTACTTTCACTGAAAGTGTCGTATTAAGCGCAGTTAGATTTTGTGAAACTTTAGCAATATGTGTTTTTATTGTTTCAATTGTCCTCGAACAGTTCATTTGAGCTTCCGCCACTGAATAAAGCGTTGAATTAAACGAGTTTAGACTGTTTTTGGCGTTTGTCACTTCCATCGAAAATGTTATGTTAAGTACATATAAACTTTGCGAAAGTTGTACAATATTTCCTTTTGTAGTTGTGACGGATAAAGTACAATTTCTTTGACCTTCTGCCACCAAATTAAGGGTTGAATTCAAAGAGTTTAGAATATTTTTGTTCTTTATCACTTTCATTGAAAGTGTTGTGTTGAGCGCCGATAAAGTTTGTGAAACTTTATCAATATATATTTCTGTAGATTCAATTGTCCTTTGAACATCTCTCTGTCTTTCTGCCACAGAGGTTAAGGTTGAACTTAAAGAGTTCAGAGTGTTTTCAGTGTTTGTTACTTTCGCAGAAAGTGTCATGTTCAGTGCATACAAGTTCTGAGAGAGTTGAGAAATATATGTCTTTGTAGAATTAATTTTGAAAGTGCAATTTCTTTGTCCTTCTGCAACTGACGATTGGAAATTATCTCGCATAATTGATAATTTCTGTGTTAGCGAATCAACTTTGTCATTTGATTCATTTAATCTGATCTCAACATTTTTCATCTTTGCTTTGTATTCTTCGTGAAAAGAATGGGATTTTATTTGCATGCTCAATAATGCATCTTTAGTTTCATTTATTCCACCTTCAACTTTCAATGCCAACGTGCTTTCGGTGTTGTGAAAAGTGTTCTCAAAATTTGATTCCATCATAGATATATTGGAAAACATTTGATTTAATAAATCACTATTCTTCGAAATATTCTCGACAACTTGAGCAATATATGTTTTTGTTGAATTGGTTGTCCTCGAACAAGTCCCTTGTTCTTCTGACACTGAATTAATGGTCGAATTTAACGATTTCAGACTGTTTTCTGTGTCCATAAATTTCTTTGAAAATGTCGCGCTAAGCGCAGATAAATTCCGAGAAACTTGAGAAACGTGAGTGTTTGTTGAATTAATCATCATCGAACAATTTCTCTGCCCGTCTTCAACTGAATCAAGAGTTAAACTTAAAATGTTCAGACTTTTTTCTGTGTTTCTCATATTTACTAATAGTGTCGTATTTAGTGATGATAATCCTTGCGTAACTTGAGTAATGCTTGTTTTCGTTGAATTGATTTTCTTCAAGCAATACCTTTGTACCTCTGCCACTGACATTTGTAAATTATTTCTAATCATTGATAAATTATTTTTCAGCTCATCAGCATTATTATTTGATTCATCTAGTCTGGTTTTAAAATTTTTCATTTTTGTTTTACATTCGTCCTGTACTGAATGTAGTGAAATTCGCAAACTCGATAAAGAGTTATCCGTATCATTTGTCTCTCTTTCAAATTTCAATGTCAATTTACTTTCAATGTTCTGGATTGTTGCATTAACTTGTGATCCTAACAACGTTAAATCCTTAAATAAATGATTGACAGACTCATAATTCCTAGAAATATTTTTAGCTATTTCAAAAAGCATATAGTCGCTTTTGTTGAGACTGTTTTCTATTTCTTCTACGTCTGTTTTTAGGCTTGTAATGTTATCCTTCAGTTCTAATATGTTTTTTTGCGAATTACTTTGAGCAATATCAATTGCAGAAGTGAAAAATGATTCAGTGTCTTGAATTCTTGCTGAAATATTATCAATATCACTATCCATTAAAATGAATCGTTTCTTCCAAAGGCCAATATCAGCAATATGAGTTATTTCCATATTTCGAACTTTTTTTGAAATATCATTGATATGACCTTTCATTGCAGTACTTTGTTCCTGCCAAACGGTTGCGACAGATGGAAGATATAGTTCAATCTGTTGAACTCTCGTTGAAATATTTTTCACTTCTATGTTCACTAAATTATGTTGCTTCTGCCAAACGTCTGTTTGGGAAATTTGGGATACTGTATAGGGGGAAAATAACTCGCGGTGTTAATATTCGCTATATTCACGGTGTTAACAAATCCGTGAATTCTAGAAACAGTGAATAAATTTTCAATAATCTATATGTTCTTTTTTTTTGGAAATTTGAGAATAGACCACGATAGATTTATATAGGTATACGTGCAGTCCATGGACATTTCAGTAATTGCGAGTAGTACTGTCATTCAATTAATTTTAATTATCACGCTTTACTTTAATTCAAATCGGCAGATAATTTGTGTTTGTTCAATAGCTGTTTTAATAGCCAACGCTGCATGTTTCATCAATCAAAACACGTGGGTCATGGGGTTTGATTACCCGTGCGTAACTAATGTTACCACGTGTATTTGTTACCTGCATTCTCACGCATATTAGTTCTTGTAGTTTTTATCGGCATTTTGGTTTAAAAAAATCATTCAAATATCGAACTTACTGACGAAGGAAGTGTGGAAGAATATTATTTCGTAGAACTACATAAAAAGTTTTATTTCCGTCCAGTGGTTTTTCGCCGCGTTGTATGGAAGATCTCGGGTGCACATGCACTCATCGTAATAGTATATAGGAAAGTCATTTAACGTTTAGGAACTATCAATAACTGCACTTGTGTTAATTAATTATTTATAAAATCTAACTATTTTATAATAACTTACCCTGTTGTTCGTGAAATAAAGACAAAACGCTGATTAATGTCGTTCACATGTAGCTATGGTATGGATTAAATGCAGACAAGGGAAGTAACATTTATTACATACCAAATTCCGCGAATTCAAGAAACCGCGATCGTGTCAGATGAGAGAAAAACGTGAAAATTACAACCCGTGAAATTAATCCCCTATACAGTAATCTGATGTCTTGTAATTTTGTTGATAGATTATTCATTTCATTTTCCATCGAATAGTGTTGCTTCTGCCAATCGTCTGTGAACAACGTTATGGATAATTCAATGTCTTTTATTGTCGTTGAAATATTATTTGTTTCAGAGAACATAGATTGGCGTTGCTCATCAAAACTTTGAAGTTGTGATGCCTGTTGATCTAAAGAATCCTGAACGTGGTTTTGAAACTTTTCGAAATCCTCTTTCATTTTGCTTTCAAAAACAGATAATCGAGATTCCATCATTTTCCAGATTTTATCATACGTCCGAATCTGTTGTGCTTCATAATATTTCTTTTGTTTACAATCCTCTTCGTTAATGATTTGCGATCTAACCAAGGGAGAAATGCATATTGTGGAAATAACAACGACATAGATCGTTGTATCCATTTTACCCTTAAGGATGTCAAAGGATGAATAGTGAAATTATTAAAAGCCGTAAAGCTATATATATATATAGTAAGATTGACACGTAATTTACATTGTACATACTGTTCATATTTTAAATAACAACGCATTTTTCAAAGTCACTTTCATTTAACGGATTTATCAAGAAAGGCAATTGTTTGAATATGAAAAACAAAGTTAGTTACTGTTAAGATTTCCCTGACCTAAACTGATTATTTTGAAATACGTATTAAGAAAGACGCAATTACAATATCAAATAACAAAAAGAGGTTCATGGGCCACATTGTTCACCTGAGCAAAATGACTAGGAAAAACACATCTCAATTTAGTATTGCAAAGTTTACGTGTTGGAGGGGGTGAAAAACTATCTGAGGATGCTTCCACATCATATATTCAATGGATATGCTGTTCTTAAGCAGACGATTTTTACGATGTATTTTTCGCATATATTCCTTTGTATAAACGTGATCCTCATTATGACCCCTCCCTATCCTCAGGGATCATCATTTGAACACTAGAAGAATCCACGCTAACTGAGGAGGATTCCATATGAATACGACTTATCATGGTTTTGCTGTTTCCGAGAAAAAGTTTTTTTTTCTATACTTTCCTATGTAAAAACTTTAATCCCCCAACATGTTAGCCCAACTCACCCCCTGGAATCATTACTGAACAAACTTTAACCTACACTACCTGAGGATGCTTCCATATCAATAGGACTAAAGACGGGTATGTTGTTTTTGAGCAGAAGATATTTCAAGTTTTTCACTATATATTCTTTTATATAAATCATTTATACTATTTGGACAGACAGACAGACGTACTGTGATCAATGTGATCAGAAACGCTAACTTGAGATTTCAGCTAAGGTGATCTAAAAAAAAAATCATAAAAAACTCAACAATTTTAAAAACACTCAAATCTCTTATTTAGTTTACAAACACTGTAACCTGAGTATTCTGGATTTCAATAAAAAAAAAACTTCCTGATTTTATAGATATACCCTTGTACATGAGACTGCAGTATATGCGTCTTTACAGAATTATTGAATGTCGCCTTTTATTATCCATTTGAAAGAAAAACTTCCGAATTTATTTTTTTTTCTTTATCGGAGGCTACGGATTTCTTTTAATATGTACAAAATTTTATAAAATCCATTTATCAATAGATCAAATATCAGTCTTATTATTTCCCTTTGCTTTAAAATTTACGCAGTAATATGGACGAACTATAAGTTAATATTTATAATTAAGTTACTTGTAGAGAAAACCATTCAGAACCTAAAAAATCCTTTTTAAGATACAGTGTACCTGTCCCATATTAGGACATACATTTTTAACCTTAAATATCATTCGTGTATGTAGTATTAATCTGTTATTGTTTCAAAGCGTTTTAGGTTAGGAAATGGCTTTTTAGAGTAGGAAATGATTTACCAAGAGATATTTTTAAAAATGTTTTACCTAAGCAGTAATTGTAATTCAAATATCTTTGTTCGAGAGAAAATTACAAAACGTAAAAATAGTTCATTTCTGAATGAATCTACTGGTTCATCTAAAGGCGCAGTTAAAAAAATCACATGCGGGTCAGTACAAATCGAGACAGAAGCGGGGCTTAGAGCACGTGGATTTGCGGAATCAAGAGCAGGTAAATATAAGGAATAACTGTCAAAATATTTTGCATTTTTTCGTTCCATGAGGATGATCAATCGATTGGCTTGCTTGAAGGCGTTAACGTTCATGCAAATTATCACGCAAGAATGTCGATCAATTCTGTGGTGGAAAGTTGCATTTGGTCATAAGAAAGAAAACATTTTCACCAGATAAATTTTTATGACTAATTTATATTGAGTAAAATTAAAGGGAGATATCTCTTCAAGGACAATACAAGATCATAAATTAGGACACATTCTGGGCTAACAATCTGATGCTTAAACATGAAAAGTATGTAAATATACTGAATATTCAACCCATATATATATTTATTGCATTTAATTCCATTGAATCTGAGGCTAAAATATGGGTCGGATACTCTAAATTCGATGTAATGAATGATCGAATTTGTTCATACGTATACGAATTCATTCGTTGTTGTTTTTTTAAATAATCCATCGTATCGAATTTTGTCTAATATAATTACCGAATTCAAAAAAAGTTATGACGAATGAAATTCGTTTTGGAAAATATCATAGTTTTAACATCAAATTGATTTAAATGGCAAAATTAATGTCATTTTGCCGCGTTTGAGCGTCTGCGATAATTGGGTTTTGATTTAAGGATTTACACTCAGAGAAGGTATTTGGATTTTGATAGCATTACCCTCAATTTTCTTTTTTCTAATTCAGTTTCAAAATTGTTCAAAATTCTCGCAAATTTTGGTATGAGATGCATGGGGGACCGCTAGCATTCCTTTTGAAGGAAGTAAATATGAAAAATTTTCTTTCAAATGCATACATTTGTGACTCTTTTTATCTTGGAACTTTATTTTCCGTTATGACATGCCAGGAATATCAAACATAGGTTTCCATGTATATTTTCAGAACGAACTTAACACACATACACACCAAATTTTGGCAAGAAACCGTATTTAAATAAATTTGCGAAATCAAAACAAATTTTACACACCTCCTTTTTGGCCTGAAAATCTCATATTTTGACCAAACTCTCAAAATTTACCAAAAAAAAAACAAACAAAAAAAAACCAACCTTTTCCTTAATTTGATAAATTACACGGTACTTCCAACCGATCAGTACAAAAATCTTAAAAAGTAATAAAAAAAATTATGAATTACTTATATAGATTTTTAAAATTGCAAATATTTTACCATGTAAGTGCAAGATGATCACAAAATATGTTTTGCGTATTAATTTGCACGATTTATTCGTTGTACTATCTTGAAATGAAATATTTATTTTGTTGATGTGTGATGTTTCATTCATGTGATTTTATGGTAATCACGTTAATTAATCTTAAAATCAACATTGGTAACCACGGAGCAAACTCAACAACATTGAAACATCAAAAACATAGCGTCATGCCGTTCTCTACAATACTCTCAAACGGTATGGCTCAATATTATACGAGTGCACTTACCAAAACGTTTATTTGTCTCTTGAAAATTAATTTTATATTTTTCCTAACATTTTTTCCAGTGGCACAATTTTCTTTGTTAGTATTACATTTTCGATATCGTAAACGTGCTTTCACAAGACCAGTAAATGTGAAGCGCCAAACTCTCATCATAACCCTAATAAATTTTAAAAGTTTTGAATTTTTTTTTTCAGATAATCAGTTTCCGTACAGATCGTCCTCGCCTGTACAAAATTTCTGTCATTTAAATATCTCCAGATCCTGTACCGTGTGAACACACATACATGGTTCGCTTTTGACATATTTCCTTTTCCTCCAGCATTTTCAGAGTCCAGAGTACAAGTCAAAATTGTATTAGTTACTGCTGCTCCGCGATGTTTATCGATGTCATCTTTTTTCCTTTCTTGATAAGGAATGCCGATCTTCAAAATTTGATTACTTTTAAAAATAAAGCAAAGGCATCAGGCATAAATCGGAATACTGTAAACCAACTTTTATTCCAGTGCGAGAAATATTCGCTAGTTTCGCCACTTACAGTACATTTAGTCGCGAATTTTAATCGTCGCGAACCAATTATTTTGCTTTGTTTTGTAGAAAATGTTTCCTT